GCCGCTCCCGCCGCGTCCTGCCCCCGCGGGCCTCAGCCCTGCTCCTGCTTCCAGTGGTGCTGGAGCCGCCACCTTATCCCTGGTGAGGAAAAAGGGACAGAGAACTGACCCGAGCGGCTCAACAGGGCGAAGCTGCGGAGGTCGGGAATTGGAAGTGCTGCGTTTCAGGTGAGCGCCGTGCGGCGGTACCGGAGCTCCCGTGCGCGTGTTCAAGGCCAAGCTGCCGTCCCCCAGCTCCCCTGCGGAGCAAACGGGCTCTGCAGCACCTGGCCCTTGTCCGGGTCAAAAGTGGAGGGATTTTAGGCGAGGGAACTTGCCCTGCTCTCAGGGTTTACCCTTCCTCTCGCGCAGGGCCACGTGATGTGTGAGTAAGTGCAGCGCTTGCAGGGTTTCCTGCAGACAGCCCGGACCTGCTGTTGCTTTGCAGAAATCCAGCAGCTCCTTCCTCTAGCGCTCAGCCCGGGTTTCCTGCTGCCTCCTCGGAGCGTCCCCCGCGCAGGCCCTGCCGCAGGAGGGCTGCCCCCGGGGCCGGTGCAGTGCCCGCCAGCCTCGGATCCCTGCGGCTGCTCAGGGGGGGGAAGCGCTCGCCGGGGAAACTAATGGAATATCCAGGATGCCGCAGCGGTGCCGGCAGGTGCTGCTCGTGCAAAGGCCGGGGCCGGCCCTGCTGTTAGGGGTGAGGTGCTGGGTGCTCTCGTGCAGCTCCCGGCTGTGGGAGCCAAAAAAGCCCCCTCGCTGGGATAAGGCCCTTTTGGGAAGCACAAGGTCAGTGTGACCGGCGCGCCGAGCGAGAGCCGCTGCCAGCAGCAGCCTGGGGCAGAGCTGTGGGCTCGGAGCCCTCTCCCTGTGCCCGGATCCTCAGCAGAGCCGAGCACCAGGGCTCGGGCATCCTCCCCTTGTGCAATGCCCAGCTTTGCAAACAGAAAACGCAGGAACAGGGATGAGCCTCGCTCGTGCCTTTATTCCTCCCGTGCCGGGACGGGAGGACGATGGGCTGCGGCGCAGAGGCACCTGGGCGGCTCTGTGCCCTTCCCGGCCGTGCGTGTCCGGAGCTCAGGTAGGTGCCAGCCAGGGAATGCTGTTGATATCACAGGCCCTGGAAAGCAGAGGTTCACTGGGGAGCTGCTCGGCTCTGTGCCTCTTGGGGCTCTCTGCTCGCACGGGGGATGCAGGGCAGAGCAGCCCAACGGTCCTGGTGTCACTTACTCTGCTTCTTCTTTAGAGATTTGTCTCCCTGACCATAAAACTTCAGCGATCAGAGGCACCATGGGGTCGCAGTTGAGGCTGGCAGCGGCTACCACGTAGCCGTCTCTGAAAGAGAGAGCAGAGGAATGTGGATCTCCCCAGAGCAAATAACTCTCATGGCAGCATCCCAGGGCTCTGGGGCTGCAGGCCAGCCGCGTGCTGGAGCGAGCAGGGCAGGGCAGCTGATATTTTAGCACACACGGCCACTTGCAGCAGGCTGCCTGGTGCTGCTGGAGGCTGAGGACCACGTCGGAGAGCAGGAGATACGTCCCAGCTCCTTAACCCATTCCCATTTTGCTCCTCTCCTGCCCTGCTGCATCTTCCCCTCCGTGCTCTGGAATCATCTTGCTGCCGTGGAGCTGATTGCCCCCCACAAGAAGGCTCTGCAGGTGGGTGCAGAGCAGAGAGGGCTGGACCCTGTTGCCCCAGTGCTGCTGTGTCGGGCTGTGGACTGGCCACAGAGTCACTCACTTGATGTAAAAGACCAGGAACCTCAGATCCTCCAGGCTGCCCTTCACGACGGTCTCTGTGTAGCCCTTCCCGTAGCCTGTGAGAGATCGTAGCCTGTTCAGGGAGCTCCAGCGTGGCAGCTACCACCGGTACCGACACAGGCTGCGCAGATGGGATGTGACTCTGGCTAGTGGAGGGCTGGGACAGGGATGAGGGACAGGGTTTGGAGGTCCCAGGCAAGCAGAACCAGGAGGCGAAGGACTGTCACCACCTCCAGCCTTTACTCAGACTGGAGAGGAAAATTCTTCCTCCTCTGTAACTTCCAAGCCACTAGAGATCAGCAAAGGACGAGGGCTCTGTGTGTGTTGTGGTGCCAGATCTCCTAAATGGAGCTCACAAACCTGCCATGGCAGCAAGTCCAAAGTGTGAACTGCTTCAGGTGATCTCTGCAACTGCATCTGCCCCCAGCCTGGACAAGGTTGTGCATTTACAGACCCCAGACCCAGTAATGTCCAAGGAGCTCAGCCAGGAGGCAGCTGAGCTGTTCTCCTCTCTCTGCTCCCTCCTACCTGCGTAGCGGATGCTTTCCCCGAGCATCGTAGTCCAGAAGAAGGGGACAGTGTGCAATTCCTTCCATTCCTTCAGCATGTTGAAGGCAGCAATGTGACCTGCGATGACCCAGCAGAGGAAACACCTTCCTTGTAGGTCTTCAAAGTTGTTGCTGAAGCCTAAGCCTGCTCATCCCAACCCCACCTCTGGCTTCTTGGTGCCCCGAATCACCCAAGCTAAGAGCTGCTGTGCATGGAGGAGCTGGGTGCCTTGGTCTGGATTCATTGGAGGTTGGACGAGAAGGTTCCTGGGTCTCTTTTCCTCCTCCTCCTTCACCATGCTGGTTTGGGAGGAACCAGGCTCCTGCCTTTCTGATCAGATTATCTGCAAGGGTGTAGCTGGCTCCTGAGGCTCGTGTGGGCTCCTCAGGCCCTGCATCCCGCTGTGCCATCCCTGTGGCCCTGCTCCCTCGCTGCCTCTCTCCATGGGGAGCTCTGAGCGAGGCAGCAGCTCCCCGTCTCACCGTGGGCCTCGGCCACTTGTTGGTGCTGGATGCTGGAGGGCTTCCCCTTGAGCAGAGCGACGGGGAAGGCAGCCACGTCCCCCGCGGCGTAGACATTCGGGATGTTGGTCTGCATGCGCTGAGGGGCGGAGGAGGCAGTGAGTGAGTGACGAGGGGAACGGGACGGGGAGAGGACCCAGACATCCTGCTGGCACTCACCAGATCCACCAGGATGGCCCCGCTCTTATCCCTGGCAATGGGGGTGCCCTTCAGGAATTCCGAGTTGGGAGACACCCCTGCGGGGAAAGGAACAAGGACACATGCAGCCAAGCTCTGCACAGGCAGGCGGGAGATGTGGCCTTGTCCCCTGCAGCGGGCACTGTCCTTGGTGTCTGTTCAGCCTGCCCGGACCAGCACAACCAGCAGCAGTGACCGGTGCTTGGGCTGGTGCAGAGCTGCTCCAGAGGCAGTAAAACCAGGTCACACAACAAAGCGGGCTCCGAGAGCACAGCAGTGACCTCCAGAGCTCAGCAAGCCACCTAGACTCATGCAGAGAGGGCTGCTTCCCTCCTGCAAGTGATTGCACGTGGGCTTTGACTTTCTCTGGAGTTTGGGGCCAGGAGGAAGGGCTGGATAATATACCGAGAAAGAGATTGCAAGGAATTATGTGCCCTGGGAATGTGCTGGAGTGCTGGTTGCTTTCCCCCCAGGCTGTCTCTTTCTCCCATCTGGAGTCTCTTACCTGTTCCAACCACCACCACATCTGCAGGTATTTTTATTCCACTCTGCAGAACAACCTCTGTGACCTGGGAAAGAAGCAAGAATTATTAACAAAGGGCTGAAAACTCTGTCCTAATTCCCACAGCCTCCCAGCTGCCTGGTTCTTTGCTTCCCTCCGTTCAGCCCTTGACTTTAAACCACTTTGTCCAACTACATGTTGCTAGGAACATAAAGAGAAAATAAAGGTGTAGTCCCCAACATAGAAACGCAGGCTGGTGCCCTTTGAGCCCAGAGCTGCGAGCAGCGAGGGTCTGGACATGGGAGAAGAGGCTTTTTTTTTTTTTTTCCCTAAAATTATCAGATCAGGAATCACAGGGTGTCACTGACCTTTCCATATTCTCCTTTCAGCTCGGAGAGTTCTTCCTTCATGTAAAACTTCACTCCTACATTTTGCAGCATCTGAAAGGGGAGCAGAAGCTGGAGCGAGCGCTTCCTAGGAAAGTCAAGGCTGGTAAAAACAGCAGTGCCCGGTCAAAAGGCAGGCAGGGAGCTTTGCTGCTGCTGCAGGGCACGCTGGCAACCTGGCCTGGCTTTGCTCAGCTCTCCTGCTCAGCACCGGGGTGTGAAGTGAGCCGGGTGACAGAGCCCAGCCAGGGGACATGTGGCTCTTGCGTGGGGGAGGTTGGGGCCAGCCCTGCACCAGCTTCGGGTGAGAAAAGTGGCTCCGCACGTCGGGCTGTGACTCAGAGCAAGGCTGGATTTCCTGGGCCGCTGCAGATCGCACGGCTGTTTGGCTGGCCTGTGTTCTCCGTCCTAGGAATTAACAGCAGATTTCCTAACCTTCATGGCGACGCCTCCAACCTGAGGACCCAGCACACTCTGGAAAGGGAATTCCTTTTTCTCCACCACGGAGACGGCTGCAGCCTTGTCTGCGAGGAAGGCAGCTATCTCCATTCCTGCAAGGAGAGGACATGCCCAAGGTAAGTCTGCTGCAAGCATCAACCTGCACCCTCCTCCTTGGAAATCTTTTCCCCTTCCAGACGAAGAGAACAACTCTGATGTGTTGCCAGCACTTAACTGTTCTTCTGCGTGTTTCTGGGCTGATATATTTAGCCTCCCCTCCCCAGTTCTCTGTTCTCATGCACTGTTGACCCAGATATTAGGAACTGCAAAGAAAAGCTCCTGACTGTGTGCAAAACAGCCCCCTTGTCCTGCCTTACCCCTTCCCTTTCCAGTGCTTTTGGGGAGTCCAGCTCCTCCAAAGGACTGTAACCTTTTCACAAGCCCCATTTCATAAAGACCTTTTCACATTTCCTTCTGATCAAATCTGTTGTTCTGATCAAATCCAATCAAAACTGTTTATAGTTCTCAGGGTTTCTGCCTATCAGAAGAAGGAGTTACTGCGCACTGGGTAACACATACCCCAGTATTTACAGGACTCCAGGGAGGAACCAAGACAGGTAACAAATGATCATCCCTTCCCTGAGGGCTCCTAGCTGATCTGCATACACAGCAGAAGTGAGTGTCAAGGCTATCATTAACGCCTTGATATCCACCCCAGCCTTGTACCTATGAACGAAGCTCCTATGATCACCAGATTCCTGCCAGTTGATAGCTCTAAGATCTTCTTAGAGTCTTCTGGCGTTTGGAGAAGACATATGTTCTGCAGGTCTGCACCTGGCTTTTCAAGAGAGTGGGGGCTGAAAGAGAGAGAATCCAGACATGTCATGATCATAAATGGAACAGGGGGGAAGTCCCACAAATCCATTCAATCCCTTTGCCCCCTCCTCCCACTCTATCCTTTAATCTCATCCCCTATTTCCCTCGCTCTCGTGCACCTCTGGAGAGCCTGATGCTGCTGAAGAGCATCAACCCCAGTGCAAAGCCATCTTATCCACTCAGAAATCTTGCGTGGGACAAGTGTTTTGTGCACTCACTGGCTGCCCGTGGCAATGAGCAGGTGGCTGTACTTCTGGGAGGACCCATCCTTGAAGCGGACCTTCTGCCTCTGCACGTCCACGGACACGGCCTGAAGGAGGAGATAGGAGGTAACGATCAGACCAGCATCTCTGGCTGACACCAGCACTTTTCATGCCAGGGCAAGTTGTTCTACTCGCCTGTGACTGAATCTCCTCTCTTTGAACATCGAGATAAAACAAGGAGTGTTGGGGTCCTGCCTCTCACTTCCCACAAATATTAGGTTTTGGGAGCTCTAAACATCACAACACTAAACCTGGGTTCCTCTAAGGGGTGCACAGAAGGCTGATTTCAAAGATCCTCCTGTTCGCATGTGATGGGCACAACTGTCCCCACAAGGTGTAGATAGACTTTACACCCCAAACATGCACACGGTCCCTAGCACTGGCCTTGGAGTGCTGTCCCAGGCAATAACATGTGTACAGAGGCAGAGCTCTGCTTGCTATAACGTTGTGCAACGCTACACCCGCAGGTGTGGGCATCCTCTCCACACACCAAGGACAAGACCACGCGTTGAGGAACCCTCTGAGCTGCTCTCACACCTCTCTTTCTGCCCAGTGCTCTATGCAGCGAGCATCAAGGAATTCAGCTGTCCTCAGGTACATGTCCTCAGGCTTCAAGTTCATTTCCTGGAAACAGGACAGAAATGTAAAGTGAAATCTCACTCCCTGCTGCCAGCGACACTCTTGCAGTGTTTACAGGCAAGTTTGCATAAGAGGCAAATTCTGCACTAGTGACTCACAGCTGCTCACACTGCCCCATCCCCATCATCTTCCTGTCGCCCCCTCAAAAAGCCCTCAGCCGTAGCAGGGAGAACTCAGCCGAAAGGGGTAAAACCTCCAGCTTAGGGTGGGCTTTGATCAAAGACTTTTTGGGAGGAAGCAGTGAGATGATACCTGGGAAGTGCACTCGCTTCCATCACATCAGAGCTCCGGCCGGCTTGCCGGAATGGATTTTTTTGGCGCTCAGCCTGGCCTCAGTGGTGGGCCATGCCCCTGATTCATGTGGGTCCCACCAAGGTCCTTCCCTTTGCCCGCACAAACCTTGCTCAGTTTAGACCTGTCGTATGGGAGGTGTTTCTCTCTGGTGGCCATGATGATCCTGCCGGTGAAGCCCTCCTGGCGAAGGGTTTCGGCACAGATCAGCGCAGCCACCCCTAGGAGAGATGCTCAGCTCAGCCCCTACCCATGGCGGGAGGGAGGAGGAGGAGGAGGAGGAAGGCCCTTCCCAGAGAAGAGACCAGCAGCGCCCGGCCTCCATGGGGAGGGCAGAGCACATCGCTGACCTCCGCCCAGGAGCAGCACCGTCTCCGTGTTGAGAAGGCATCGCCCGCTTGCCTCCTTCACCCTCACGCTGCATTCGAGATCCTGGAGGAACGCGGGAAATACTGGAACAGTTCCTAGCCCGGGGTGCTGCCTGTGCTCGGGGCCAGGTAAGGTCCATACCTTTATTCGTGCTGTGACAAACACCTTTCCGTTCTCCACGGTTACCTGTAGGGATGAGAGCAGAGCGTGATTTGGTGCCATGTTCCATGGGTGGTGGCAGGAGCGCTCTCGAGCAGCTCCGTTAGAGCGGCCACGCGGCTCCGAGCTCCTGGGCACACAGGGGTCTGTCCGGGCGCCACTGCCGGGGGGATCCTGGTGACAGCGAGCGGCTGTGCGAGTCAGAGCCTGGAGGGAGAGGGGTCTGGGACACCAAGCTGGAGACCTGCTGGGAAGAGGCTGCGTGATTGAGAGCGGCTTGTAGGAGCAGGGGCCAGGAGCTCGGAGGAGCAGGGGCCGGGAGCTCAGAGGAGCG